CGCTGCGAACAACGGACTTTCTGTTTAACCGTCACGTGACTCGAGCAACGGACTGGCTGTGAACAACGGACTTTCCGTTCGGCAGTTACGTCAGGCGAACAACAGTCTTTCTGCGAACAAGCGCGAATGATGTTTCCACTCTTTTGCCGTTGCCAATGACAATCTGCTATTTTTATAATACAGTATATTAATATTATTCGAATATATTATTAGTATATCTGAAGTTCAGAGCTCCAGTTGGGATTCGGCTCGCTCCCTTGTTTATTACGTACAGTACATCACCTCAGTGCAGGGTATTTACATTTATTCAAGTATTGTGCAAATTATGGCTTCCAAAAAAAACAAAGGTGATTTCAATTGAAACAAAGCAAGAAATCATCAAAAGGAGTGAAAGTTGACAAAAACTTCCTTGTCAAATGGGGAGAGGTTTAGGAGTTTACCAACACTCATTATCCAAGCAGAGCTGAGACCAACAGGATCAATGATTTCTACAATGACACCCTTGCCCGTCATTTCCGACAAATGTTGAAAAAAATAAACAGATGACCTTGGACATGCTTTTCAAGAAGCCAGCTGCCAAGAAACAAAGGATGGAACAAGAAGAGTTGACCCTGCAAGCTCCTGTAGCCTCTCCTGAATCTGATTCCGATTAAAAAACAATAAAAAGAGACCTGCTGCAATGTGTAAAAAGTCTGTATCTGTATGAATGTGTGAAGAAAGTGTTCCTTCACCTCCTCCTCGCGACATCTGACTACCCGGCATAATTGGTGATTGCTCCATTTTCAGTTTTTTAATAGTACAGTACGGTTAATTTATGCTACGGAACGAATTACATGTTTTAACATGTATTTCTATGGGAAAATGCGTTTCGTATAACGGACTTTTCACTTAACGGACGTGCACCTGGAACGGATTAAGTACGTTATACGAGGAACCACTGTATATATATATTTGGTTGTATTTTACTTTTTAAACTTACAAACACCACCATGCCAATTGATTAAGAAAAATATAAATACGTCAAGAAAAAAAATTTGTTCGACATTTTCACGATAAAATTTATGAAGATATAAGATGGCTTTGTGGATGCATAAAAATGCAAAAATTGTTTTTTTGGCGTCGTCTACTATTTTCAAATAAAATTAGTGTGTGGAATAAGAATGACTTTGACGATTCAAATAATTTGAGTAAAGCTGGCAAAAGACAAAAATCGTAAATCTCGCATCGATTCTTTCGTAAAATGAAGCAATTCGGAAATCAAAGCTGAATAGAATTTAACATTAGCAAATAATATAAAATAAATATTGAAAATTATAACAAAGTTACGGCTAATAGATATATTATATCTAAATTAGTAGATGTCATGTAAAGCAAGAATTGGCATTTAGAGAGCATAGGGAATCTATTGAACATAATATAACAGAGTTAATTATATTGAACTTGTTTATTTATTAAGTGCGTCAAATAATCTATTAAAAATACAGTGGTACCTCGTATAACGTACGCCTCGAATAACGGACGCTGCGAACAACGGACTTTTTGTTTGGCCGTTACGTGACTCGAGCAACGGACTTTCTGCGAATAAGTGCGAATGATGTTTCACTCTTTTCCATTGCCAATGACAATCTGCTATTTTTATAATATTCTCATTTCTCATTTCTCATCGACAAAAGTGGAGTGCTTTTGCTCTTCGCTTTTCACTCCAGAAGAAACAGTGTGGTTGGTCGCATAGCGACCGAAGAGTCGGTCTCATCGAAGACGACCAATCCGAGGAAGATAAAAGAGAGGTCACAAAGCAACCAAATCTGGCCTTATAGGAGACGACCCCCGCGAGAAAGGGAGACAGAATGCCTTCCGGGAGGACTTGGAGGGAAAGCTGGCCCCTATTCAGGCGTCATTGGCAAGGAGGAAAACCCGGAAAAACTCCCGATTCCAGTTCGTCCGAGTTAAGCGCGAACCCCCGATCGAACTCCGGTGTTTAGGGTCTGGTCATTTTTATAATATATTAGTATTATTCGAATATATTATTAGTATATCTGAAGTACAGAGCTCCAGTTGGGATTCGGCTTGCTCCCTTGTTTATTACGTTACAGTACATCACCTCAGTGCAGGGTATTTACATTTATTCAAGTGTTGTGCAAATCATGGCTTCTAAAAAAACAGGAAGGTGATTTCAATTGAAACAATGCAAGAAATCATCAGAAGGAGTGAAAGTTGACAAAAACTTCCTTATCAAATGAGAAGAGGTTCAGGAGTTTACCTACACTCATTATCCAAACACAGCTGAGGACAACAGGATCAATGACACCCTTGCCCGTCATTTCCGACAAATGTTGAAAAAGATAAACAGATCACCTTGGACATGTTTTTCAAGAAGCCAGCTGCCAAATAACAAAGGGTGGAACAAGAGGAGTGTAATCTGCAAGCTCTGGTAGCCTTTCCTGAATCTGACTCCGATTAAAAAACAAAAAGAAGAGAGCTGCTGCAATGTGTAAAAAGCAGGGCTGTGGAGTCGGAGTTGGAGTCAGAGTCGTGGAGTTTTGGTGTTTTAGCCGGAGTCAGAGTCGGAGTCGTCAAAAAATCCGCCGACTCCGACTCCTTTTTACTTACCAACTTGTTATATATATAAAACGGAAAAGTATTGGAACAGTGTCAAATTTGACCCTCCAAGTTTTATTTTCAAATCTACACGTTTGGAGACTTTCCGAGCCCCTCAAAAAAGTCAATAAAAGGGAAAAATTTGCACGCGTGTGTGTGTTGGCATCTAATTTGTTTAATTTCTTTATTTTTTGTTCTGAGATATTAAACAATATCTCAGAATGGGTAAAGTTTAAGAAATGAAATGTGGCACTGTAGCTTGCGTATAACGGGGCATTAATACTATTAAATTTTGGTCCTTAATTAAAGGTCGACAGGGTGAAGACATAAAAGGGGTCGTGTGTCATATCTCTTAATGAATATTTTACTCGTTATTAGAGTTTAAAATTTTAAAAAAATAAAATAAAACTAGTCTCTACCCTCAAAGTAAGTTTTTTCGCCGTTTTATAATAGTACAGTTAAACTTATTAAGATATTCTCGCCTAAGATGTTAGAATGTAAATGGGGACACGATTTAGTTCAACCACTTTAACGCTTAATAACTAACTCCCGTGTTAAACCATCCGACTCCGATTCCGACCACTCCGACCACAGAAATTATTAGGCTTCAAACGGGATGAACAAAACCGTGCCTCCCACACACAGTCTAACATCTACATATATAGAAAAAACCTCGAATCTTTTGCGTATCTCGAAATTTCGAGGTGTCCCGAGTCCAAAAATGTAAAAATTTGGGAGGGGTAATTTTTTGACCGAGCGCTACACGTTTCCTCTGTTAAATAAAACAACCGGAAAAGCAAAAATTATCGAATACATATTTATATATTACTTAGAGAAGTCTTTTAGCTTTGGAAAAAGTTTCTACGCTCTATCTTTATTAGAACTCTACTTATTGAATTTTTTATTTTGAGGTCACGTGATGACATGAGAATTTCCGGGTTACTTTCGGTAACAAGTCCGCCCCTGGTCGGAGTCGGAGTCGGAGTCGGATGGTAAGGAAAAGTCGGAGTCAGTAGATTTTTACACGACTCCACAGCCCTGGTAAAAAGTCTGTATCTGTATGAATGTGTGAAGAAAGTGTTCCTCCACCTTCTCCTCACAACATCTGACTACCCGGCATAATTGGTGACTGCTCCATTTTCATTTATTTACAGTATGGTTATTTTATGCTGCGGAACGAATTATATGTTTTAACATGTATTTCTATGGGAAAATGCGTTTCTTATAACTTTTTACTTAACGGACGTGCACCTGAAACGGATTAAGTACGTTATACGAGGCACCACTGTACATTTAGAGAAGTCTACGGTTTTTACTGGCTTATCGAACAAACGAATCGAATGGACCCTAGACCATGAATGACTGATCGCCTTTGAAAGTCGGCTTCTTACAGAAACACAGCTTTTCTATCATCAAATGTCACGGTACGCCACTGTTACCTGTATTATTGTTTTTTTATATTTTGCCTCCAAGTGCAAACCTTGTGTTTACCAAAAAATGGTACTAAGAAAAAACGGTACTAAGAAAAAAAAATCTAAATTGTCGTAAATTTTTACTTGTCAAAATTTTTTACATCTCAGATGTTTTTGTTTGGATTTTATAATACATGGAGCTTGTGGAGACGTTGGCCCGTAACAGTGTTTTATGTCATCCTGGGTTTAGCGGCTATCAATGCATATACAGTATATTATACAAGGAGATAACTCAAAAACATTCTCGGGTAAAAATATCTTCAAAAGCTAGCAGAAGAACTGCATCAAGAGTAACTACAGAAAAAAAACAACTTACTCCAACCATTCGAAACCGTAAAAAGTCTGGAAATTCACCTTTTCCATCAAGAAAAAAAGTAGAAATTGTAAGAGAATCCGCTACCGAATTAATGGCAATCGCACAATGTAATTCTGTACTTTTAGCAAAGTTCCAGTTTAGGAAATTGCACAGTAGAAATTCAGTTAATGTGTTTGATGTGCAGTAAAAAAGTATTGACAGAACAAATTATTTTTTTGTCATTTATGACTTTTGATAGCAAAACATTATATCCGGATTTATGTATAATAAAAATACAAGTCAAAATAAATACATCAGAATTTAGTTGCAATTTTTCTGTTACAGGTCAAAATGTTCGAGGATTCTTGGTAAAAACAAAGTCCGGCGTTTTCAGTGTTACATTTTAAGCATCATTCTATAAACAAATCTTTTTAGGGTATGCAGGTATTAATGGGATTCACTCCTCCGTAAATAATATAATTACGAAATTGTCGAAGACAAATACAAGTACTGTACATTTTTTTAATTAGTGCATTTATTTCAATACATATTTCATATTTAGAGTTTATTTTGATACAAAAAGTTTCAATAAAGACTTATTTTCGTAATACGAAAAAGAATTTTTTAGTTCTTACACTTATTAATGTTAACATAACAGGTATAACAAATATTGCATGAAAGGCAGTTAGAAAAGCTATCAAAAATACTATTTTGACAAATGTTGTAAACGCGTACATTTTGTGTATTAATAAAACTAAAATTCCTAGAACCGTGGACAGAGTCCCTTGCAGTATTGGAAAACCAGTTTTGTATAAGGAGTTTTTAAGCTTCTCTTTATTGCTTTCCTCCGAACTGCGAAAATACGCATAGCACACGTGTGTGGGATAATTGATACAAAATCCTGCACACAGGATTAAACTCAACATGGAAACCATGTCCAGATTGACTCCTAATACATTCATATAACCTAAAGTTTCGATCATTGTAGAGACGATGCAGATTGTTTCAACAACTACACAAGTAATACTGGGAATGAAAAGGATGAAAATAATGATCGTACACAAGGCAGTTACCCAAAACAATTGGTAGGTTACCTGTCTGATTATTAAAGTTTGTTCAATTATATTTGTTAGGAAGTGATGAAAAATGACTTTAAATGGAGTTTTTTTTTCCATTTTCCGTAAATAATCCGTCAGTTTTTGGTCCGTTCGTATATTATGAATATTCTTTGCCGTCACGAAAAATCGGCTGCAGGTAATTTCGGTGTAATTTTTATTAAAGACAATATCATTAGAAAAGTGTTCGGCTGGCTTCAATTTCAAGAAGACGTTGCGCAGTCCGTCGATAAAGTCTTGTTTTTTCGACAAGTCGTAACCTCTAAGAGAATAACGAGCGATTTCCTTCTCCTGAAATTCTTTATAATACTTCAACCAGGACATTGTCAAACGTGAATCGGCGATATTCGGGTGATTTTCCAATGCTTTGAATAAATTATCGAGAGATTTCTGAACTTCTGGAAGTGAATAATCCACAGTTTCGTTAATGATAATATGAATTGGATACGGATATTCCGAATAATAATTATAATATATTCGAAACGATTCAGAGACTTCGGAGTTACGAGGATAAAATTTTTTCATGTCTAATCCGTCTTTTAAAGTGGTGACTTTCCAAATTCCAAGAGATAAATTTAATACGTACAAAAGCAGTATAATCGCTTTTGACGAAGGATGGAATATAGTCTCTCCGATTTTATCTCTGAATATTTTCATATAAAAGTCTTTCGAATTTCTTTCTTCGTAAGTTCTTTCTTCTGTAACTAAAAAAGAAAACTGTAAATTGTTATATTGTAGTAGTAGTAGTGGTTCGGGCCATACTGATCACAAAATTAAAATTACAATAAAATTTTTAAAATTGCAAATAAAAATTTGTCGAATGGAATTATTTGAGATCACAAAAGTAATCTTTCGATCACAAATCTTAATTTTATTTTAACAATAAGACAAAGTTTAATATATTCTTGCTAATTATTATAAAATTAATTTGCAATAATAATTTTTACAATCTGTTCTAATATGCAAGTAAATTAAAACACGACAACTTAAAATAATAATATAACAATAAGGCAAAGTAAAATAGGGAAATAGTTCGATATAATAATTATTTAAATTATATTTGTTACTCATTTATTAAATATCGTAAAGAGAACAATGCTTTTTAAAATATTTGTGGTAATAACAAATTTTTTGTTATTATTCAATCTTAGACACCAAAAGAAGTTCGATGTCTAAATACTTGTAGTTCTAGTTTTTAAAAAGTTTTTGTCTATAAAATTTAATCTAATTTCAAAGTTGCTAATTTGAAATACCCTTTTTCCNATTACTATATATATATATAAATTATTATTTTAAATAAGATTTTAACAAACAACTCGTTGTGGATTCTTTAAGTCTTTTCATATACCCCTGTGATCAAACAGTATCGTGAATGGTTTCAATAAAACAGAAGATTTGATTTGAACTTATTCATCAAAATTTATTTCGTCCTCTTCAAATAATCCCTTCTACTTCCAATACACTTATACCAATACACTTATACCAACGTTTACTCCAATCCTCGAAATATTCTTGGAGTCGATTTCGTGAAATCGCTTCAGGACTCGCAGTGAATTTTGTTTTGTAGCATCAATTCACCCAAAACGCTGAAAACGAAATTTTAGTGGGGGAAACAGGAAAAAGTCAGACAGTGCCATATCGGTTGAATTCGGAGTTGCGCAACCGTATTCGTTAAACTTTTGACCAGAAATTCTCCAAGAAATCGAGCATCGTGAGCGGATGCATTATCGTAGTGCAAAATCCACGAGTTTTTTCGCTACAAATCCGTTCGTTTTCTAGGAATTGTTTCACGCACTCAATGAAAAACGCTCAATTAATACGTTTTGTTGACAATTTGGCCAGCCGGAAGGAATTCGTGTCGCACAGCACTACGCCACTCGAAAAAAACAATCGATACGATCTTGATTTTTGACCGATTTTGACGCGGTCTTTCGAGCGCCCTTCACTCGATTATTCAACTGTTTCGATGGCAAAGGCGTAGATCCACGCTTCAACATCCGTAATGATGCGTTTTACGAACGATTCGTTTTGAGAAAGCATTTGGCCACTCGAAAACGTTGTTATTTTTAAAAAATTCAATGTTTTCGGGACGACTCGAGAAGCCATGTGCCGCTAGCCCAAACGATTCGTTAAAATCGCTTGACGAGATCAAAATTACACCGTAACATATTCAGTATTGTCGTTAATTTTTAAAAGACGATAATTGAGAACCTAATCTTCGACTGGAGCGACGTGTTGTTCATCAGTTAAAGTGGATAGTCTACTGGGGCATGGTTCGTTTTCGACGCGTTCTCTGACTATTCCGTATATCTTGTACAGTTCGAAAACACTTGTTTTTCATAGAATTGCGTCACTAGAAGCTTTTTACAACAACTTTGTAGCAGTAGTTTTGTTGTGAGAACAAAATTTTATGCATGATCCTTGCTAGATTAAGGTCAACATTTTGAAAAATCTCCGGTACAAACAGTTCTTTACACATAAAACTAGCATTTATTTGCCAACGAAAACAGGAGATATCATACGGATTGATGCTAAACATCGATGAAAGTCTTACCCAATGACGAAAAAAATGATAGCGTCTTCTTGCACAAGTGCAGTTTAATTAAATGAACCGTTTTCAATACTTTTTGATCACCAGAGTATAAGCATATTTTATTATAGTTAGAAATATAATCGAAATACACAATATTTTGCAACTTTTTCTTACGTCTACCATAAAACATATAAAATTTTTAAATATTTATTCATACCAGTTAAATAGAAAGTGTGTCGTCGTTTTTCTTCACTGTATCCACTTATAGCCACGCAACCTCCAAAAAACGTTAATTGATAGAGATAAGTGAAAACTAAACAGGTTAAAGCGTAGATGCAGTAAAATTTCACAATAGGAAACGGTGCTAATAATCCAACGGAATACGACAGAATATTCGTTAGAGAAGCGATGGTAATTGGAACCGATGCTTCCAAGTACGTTTCTTCCATACGTTTCTGCACATTATCCGCTACGTTCGTACTTCTCCAACACGCTATCAGAACGTAAGCATCGTCGACCTCTGTCACTAAAAATAGTTTAATTTCATAAGTAAATGAATATTAAGTGAACGAAATAAGTTTTATCTACTCCGACCTAAAAATGTATCAAATTTAAATTCCTTACGACACTTTTTTCGACACGAAAAGAAGGAAATATATATATACTGTATATATTTATTTATAACTGACGCACCGGGAATCAATGAATTGTCACGAAAGGTTTGAACAACTAACAAAGAGAAAGCCAGACATTCGGGTCTCCGATTCGAACGAAACTTGGTGAGCACGTAGTCCCAAACACAAACAATTCCTTGTCCAAATAATAAGACCCTCTTTACAAGCGTTTGCAATAATAGAGTTTCAGAAAATTGAAACTCTATTATTGCAAACGCTTCAGGTCAGGGGTGGCCAAAACGTGGCGCATTGGACGATTGCAAGTGGCGCTTCAGTTAGTTCTGAGCAAAATTGCCAGATTTGGCATTTTTGCAATTAAGAATATTATATAGAAAAATAAATTTTTTATAGTCTGTCTTGGCAAGTTCATTTGTTGCACAATTCGTTACAGTCTATTTTGCAGATAAAATGAGTGTTCTCCACATAGTAAATTACAGTGTATGCATGTATTTTGAGTCTTGCGATCTTTATTTCCGATCAGTTTACAGGCGTGTAAATGGCCGAAAACATTTATTGTGATTAAAGTTATTCCAAGCTGATCTCGTTCTCAGTGCCAATAATTGTGGTGCAGAGTAATCTTCACCAAACGAGACTCTGGCAGCAATAGCACCATCATGAAGCAATCACTCTCTTCTACAGATCATTGTTGACTATTGTAAATTGGTGCTTCAATAAACTGTCATAAATTAATTAATTCAACTGTGTGATTAAGTTATTCCTTTTTCTCCTGTAAGCGAAGCAGATTTATTCTTATCTCTATTTATCAACCCCTAACATTGAACGTAAGACTATAAAAAGTGTTTGAGTTATATGGTGCATCTGAACTTGTCTGTCAAAAAATTGGTACATGGTATGCAAAAGGTTGGTCATCCCTGGTTTAGGTTATAAGTCCGGAAGTTTCACATTTCTTTGGAATGGTGACAGCGAGTGGGAGAACAGAAGCCGTATTCTGGTCATCGTCTCTCGTCTCTGAGAGGCATTGTCTACGTCACAAGCTGACCGTGATTGGCTAATAATTTGGTTACGTCTCGAGAGATCATCGAGTCTTTCCAAATGCGTTTCTGGACGACTTTTTCTATCGAAGATTCTCTCGTCTCCCAGAAATGAGCGGATAGTTGTCTTTCGAACGGTCTTTCGTCTGTTGCATCGATTTCGTTATATCCAATATGAACGACTGAATGCTATACGCTCTGTACAATCGTATTAGAGAACGTTCTCAATCTCGGGAAAGAATGTTTCGAAAGAGAAAATATTTCTAATTTTTTTCAGTGCCTACCCAGGAACAATGTTCGCTCTAAGCTGCTCGGCTGCGCGGCCACGCACTGCTTAAATTGTTGCCGCGCACGAGAATTTATGTGCAGCGCTGACGAGCATGCACACCAATTTGTATTGTTGTTTACTTATTTCGCACTCTGTAACATAATTATCGCTGCGTATATTTCGATTATATACATTAAATCATTGACAAAAGATAATATTTCATATAAAAGTATGTTTTAAAATAAATTTTAACCTTTACTTTATAATTAATTATTTTTATTTTTATAGGAAAAAATAAGATTTTATAGGTCTATATATATGCTGAGAAAAATTTTTTGCTCAGAGAAGTATATGTTCCACTCATCTACAAAAATAAAATTAGAGGGAACATTGCTCGGGAACGCCACTGATTCTATCGTTTTTAATTACTCGTATCCTACATCAATTACTGTACTAAACTATTGAATATGATGAAAATCTTATTTATGTAAATGTTTTTCGACATATTACCATGTAATTTCTCCTTAACTAAGTATGCACGCTTTTCTGATTTAGGTTATTAAAATTTTTATTTGTTAAGAGACAATTTGGCATTACAATCTGTAAAAACGTTATGAAACAAAAAACATATATTCGTCAAAATTACGTGCTTTACTTGAACTCGCGCTTTCCTTACTACGTGATCTATAATTAGGTTCTCTGCATTTTCGAAAATTTTACAATTTCATGTGTAAAAATTCTATACCGTGTTGCGCGTGCAGATAGCTCGAACATGCAGCGCTTTTTTTGCCGTAGAACTCAATGGAACGGCGTTCTACCGCCTTTTTCGATATATTTTAAAAGTTTTAAGAAAAGTTTTGAAAATTTGATATTTAGTCCATGTTCAATCGCTCTATTGAGCATAGAAAATCGGCAACAAAATTATTAAGACGGTCCTGCTCCTGCTTGTGTGCCGAATCTCGTGTACGATGCATGTAATATAATTTTAGCAATGAGATGAGCGTTCTACCATTTTTTTTCCCGAAAAAAAGTACTGCGAACATCTATAATCAACCTAATAGAATCGTGATGTCGACAACAAAGACGAAATCGTTACGAACTACCAGAATCGCCGCTGCCGTTACCAATGATGTCAAAACGAGAGACGAGATTCTTTTCTCGTTTGGACGTCATTTGTTTCTGAAAGAAGAGACGAGAGTTAAGTGACCAGAATATGGTCCCTGGTTTAACCACCATGGTCTTTGTTCCGATAGTAAAGAAGTTACGGCCGAAGTTTTCATCTCTAAAGCGTGAACTTCGAACGTCTTGCGTCGCCATCTTAGAAGCCTAGAAATTTGACAATGGCTGCCTTTAGCAGACTCAACAATTCCAGAGCTGTTGAGTAATTTTCTGCCGAACGCCCTCTACAGCTGATTTTGTTTTATTCTGTGCCAAACGCTCTCTCTCTCGGCTTGAACATGTTTGGTGCTTTCATGTCACATTTAGTAGCGCCTTTCATTTACGCTACTTTTCGCTAGCTGCATCTGACCAATGATAGCAGCTTTTTGTTTCAACTCATACATCTCTCATCGTTCAGCAGATGTAATTACGTAACAGCTACCGATTCAAACATCTTTGCTTAGTTATGACTGTTGACTCTGCAGATGTTTAGATATCAGAGGTGTACAGAACTTCTGCTTGCCGTACAAGTTTGAAGTTTTGACTTGGGCCTCAACCTCTCTAGTATGGGTGCTTCGCCCAGTTCGAATCGTTCTAATGAAAGTGTTTTGTCTCATTCAGAAATAATGTACTTATTAATCTTTTTGTGGGTTTCCAGACGAGGTTCGAACTCGAGTAAACCGTGAAATTCTTGCGCGACACAAGATGTAAACAACGAGACTCGGAACGGCTCGAGTATGTGTTAAATTATCTATCAAGGTCTTAGCGGAAGACAAACTCTAACACGAGCGCTCATAAACAGGTAGATCTTTGACTCGCGTGTCTATAAAATGTTGGACGAAATAAACCTTTCGAACAAAAAAAGGGGAATTTTCGATAAATGAAAGATGAAAAATGAGCGTTAAATTCTTACACGTCAAAAAATGGTAACTAACGGCCTGAGTTATGAGTGCAGGTGTTATTATTTTATAAACATCACCGAGCAGAATCGACGAAGAGGTATCAGATGGACACCTCGAATCGGACCTTTCTCGCGACCCGAAAAAGTTTCGTCTTGCACCTGGAGACAAAGGAGAGACCAATCGGGAAGCGAGGAATGAGACGAAGGACCAATCCGAAATGCGAATATTGAAGGAAAAACTATAAAAATCGGAACTTCAAGGTCGAAAGAGAGTCTCCTCTGGATTAAGCCTACAGTTGTGATTGAGATTGTGTTGTGCAGCCGCCGATCACCTAGGACGCCGCAGCTTAACAACGAACTTCTGCATCGTCCAGTGATCCTCGTCTGCCCGGGCTGCGACCAATCACCCGAACTTTCATCGTTTCGCACGAGCATTTTCCGAGATTTGGAATTGTTCAATGACGATGTAAGCATGAATTCGAACAAATAAACGGGTTTTTTTTGTAACACACTTGTACTTCATTTGCCTCCTTCGCCATCGCCCACATACGCGGTTTCCCTAAGGCTCATTCTGACGCGAGATAAACTGTATTCCCCCTTAACGTCGGCAACCTTACATTTCCGAATGACATAGATTGGCGGAAAACATTACTTTTTATCGTCGACCCTAGAAATGGACCAAACAGTACACATGACTTCGTTCCTGTACTTAGAGAAGTTATATATTTGAAAGATATTGTCCATTTTTGGATCTCTGTGGTAACTCTTGTTTTTACTATTAGATTTAAAAGTAAAGCTACGACTAAAGCTCTCTTGAATAAAGGCAACATAACAGTGAAAGGTAAGCCTTGTAATATTACAAACATCGTGAATTGGAGAATAATATCTACAGTACACTGGCTACCTCTTGAATTGTCCCATGACCTCGTGATAAACACTTTATTAAGTTTGGTAAAATAGTTAGCTGCAAATTTGTTAAGTGTAATGTGGTAGGTTCAGAGTAGGTCTAGAGCAGAGGTGTCCAAACTACGGCCCGCGGGCGAGATCCGGCCCGGCAGGAGATTTTATCCGGCCCACGAAGGTTTTTGAAAAATACTGATTTTTTCGCGCGAACCCGTTTGATTTTCAAAAATGTATATCAAAATTTGAAAAAAATGCAAAACTTACTTGTATATTTGATAAAAACATTTTTTTAATTTTTAAAAATAATAAAATTGAAAAATATATACATAAAATTTTACTTAAATTTACAGTCGTAAAAATATTGTTTTGGGCTATTGTTCGGTAACTACCGAATTGGTACGAAAGCAGGCGAATAGCGAAGGTACTTTTTTTATTTTAATTTGTTTTTTTAACTCTTTCCACCCTGTGGGCACTAAGAGGGTCTCTTTTTGCAAGCCCATTATGGGTTCGGCCAGGCCCACGATAGGGCTGCCGGGTGGTGAGGGGCGGGGTCCGACATAACCGAACGGACCACCCCCCGAAATATTCCTGGGGATTTTTCAACGTGTTCGGATTCGAGCCCGAGTCCCC